TATTATTATTATTATTATTATTATTATTTATGGCAAATTCTATTTAAATTATATTAAATTTGTTTGTACAAGTAATTGTGTTTCACATTTACATTTTTTACCTTACTTACTTTTTCGAACTATATTTGAATTTCCCGCTTTTTGGCCCAAAGGCGGTGCCTATTTCTTATCTATGTTATTTACGCTGCTTATACATTGCTTAAATGGGAAAAGTGGGGGGAACTAGCAGTCCATACTTATATAGTCAAAGTTGAAACCGTCGTAAAAAATTACAATAGGATGGCCGCTCTCAGGTTTCTCTCTGATCGTAGAAAGATTTATTGACATAAAACGCAGACACGAGTAGCAAATTTCATGAAATTGACCAATCACATTAGTCAAATGAGCCAATTCCGTGAGACCATCGAATTATGAATCTGCGTCTACATCTAAATGTAGATAGGCCTTAAACTAGCTAACTTCGCGCATGCGCGTTATTGCTGGCTTCACAAAGTCGGGAGAGTTGCGCTACTGTATATATTGTATCACAGCCTTGAGTCTTCTTGAGTCCTTGAGTCGGCCATTTCATTTCTGTTGTAGTTGCAGGTAGTTTCGGCAGAAAGCTGTTGCAACAGAAGTAAGTATATAACGCATATGCATATTTAAAACGCGTTATATTCATTCCAACTTCTTTCATGCATGTCTTAAGTAGTTTGATTAATCACAAAAATCACTCTATAGTCTTTTGAATAAATACTAAAATTTCAAATGTTCTTATATGGTTTATATTACTGTTTGAGTGGCAAACACGTGGTCGGAACTTTTTTCTAAAAAGTAACATCACACTTAAAATAAGATGTAAATTTGCACATGATGATTCTGTAGGATTTCTGACACCTCTTGTCTGAATATTTTTGTAGATATGTAACTACAAACTGAGATGTTTCTTTGAAATTTGCAAAAGTTCAGTTTTTAACAATATTTTTCTATAATATAGTGTTCTTTTTACAGAAAACTTTGTTGTCTGATAAAAATGTGTGCATTGAGTGAAGCTCGATTATATATTAAGTCTCAAGATCGAAGATTTCTTGAAGTATCTATAAATATTTGAGTATGTAACCTAACCTAACCTAGGCTTGGTTTACATCTATTTATCATGCACATATATTTGTTCGCTAATGCCATGTTTGGTGAGTAATTAATATAGCTATATATATGTATGTACTGCTAAAATTTAATAAAATACTGCTTAAAATAAATATTTAAAAAGATAAATAGGAAGTAACATTTGTTGAAAAAATAAAAGAAAGTAATGAAAATTATTTGTGGTAAATAAAGACGCCTTAAAATTGGGCAAAAAATGACTGAATTTGTTTTAGAACATTTTTAATCTTTAAGGCAAGATTAAAAGCCTGGATTAATCTCCGGTAAGGATTATTTTCTTCCTTTTCGGTTTCAACCCAGGCTACAGATTTATACACATTTATACAGCAGAATTTTATACATTTCTATGTCACATTACTGTACACTCAGATCATTGATCATGCATGTTTAGAACGAATTTAATCTTACGCCATATTACACTATGAGTCGCGGTGAGATACAGTTGATAATTCATTACTGATCAATGATTAAGTTTGCTGCTTCAGTCAATCTGCAACCGCAAATGAGCTTGTAGTACAAATTTTACATTTTTATACATATCGAGCACAAAGCATGATCAAGACTCAAGACACAAAGCTCTTCAAAGAGTAGGAAAAAATAGAAAAAAGTTCAGTTGTGCAAGTTACTTGGTTTCAACAGTTATGTCATGCAAAGCTCTGTTAAAAAATCAATGTTTTTATTTATATTTGTTATTTTGACTAAAAAAATTAATTAAAAAGCTGAGATAGAAATTCTTTAGACAGAGTATTAACATTCATGTTTTACAGGTTAAGATAATAAATTCTGCTAAAGCATAAGAACAATGACATCTGAGTGATACTGATTGAATACATTTGTAAACTCTGAAACAGTCAATTGGTATTTGACTGTTAATAATCAAATATTAATGCTTGTTGAATCATCAAAAGAGAAAAGGAAAAAAAGCAAGGTAATCTTTTTTAATTTTTTGGTAGAACAACACTTTTAATAGCACTGAAGTCAATAGCTTCAGTGCTATTGTAAAAAAATTAAATGTTTAATAGAGATTTTCAAATTAACATTGAATTTCAAAAAAGAGCTAAAAAAATATTTATATTTATTACTACTATTTATAATTATTTCTAGCAATTTCGGAAGAGATTAAAAATCAGAGGTAAAACTCAAATCTGGATGCTATAGATTTACTGGTTCACCATTAGAAAAAATTACTTATTAAAATAAATCTACAGAACTAGTAAAACTATAATATTGTATTACTAACTTTAATATAAAGCCAACATTTATGTATAATCAATAAATATCAACTGTAATTACAACTCGTAATTATATCAATTGTTCCTTTATCTTTTAAAATATTGCTTTTTCTTTAAAACTACATCATCCTTAGCTAAGTAAAAATTCAAAACTACTAAGTAAGATAAGTTTGAGTAAGTTTCTGATACATATATTATAATAAGGTTTTTAGAAAATTAAAATTTATATTTTAAAGTACAAAAGAGTTTCGATGTAACGAACAACAGACATTGTACAAAGGTTTACAAAAATACGCATGTTTCAAATCTTCGGATCTGACGGTCGCAGTTTTACAAGAGGCTCACTTAGTTCCCACAGTTTCTTACCTTTGGAAGAATCCTTTACAGCGTTCGATAATCGATGTTCCTAAAACAAATATTGACATATTTTCCTAACACCAGCTTGTTTTAAGAATTATATAAAAAAGAATCAAGGTAAGAATTAATGCGAAAAAAACTTTAAAAAAACAATGAGTTCCAGAAAAAAAGATAAGTTCTCACAGCACAGTCCATAAAATATTTGCCCGTGACGCCATTAACTTCGTCAGAAACGACAAGGTAAATTGTCGTCTGCGCAGCTTGCTGGGGTGTCTTAAAGAAAGCTCTGATTATAATGTTCAAGAACCAGGATAATGGAGCAGGTACATTTCGCCAGATTCCGCTGTTTATCATTCCGGGATGTAGGCAGTTCGCCGTCACTCCTGTGCCGACCAATCGTCGCGCCAGTTCTAGTGTGAAGACTATGTCTGCGTACTTCGACACGTAATACAGATACGCCGGCAATGTTGTCGTGGGATTAATGTTATTGAAATTTAAACGTGCTATTCGATACAGCTCTGATGCAACTACTACTATACGACTTGGCTTTGATCGTTTCAATAAATCTATAAACAATACATACAAATAAACTTATTCGTTCTTGGAAAAAAGAGAAAAAAATAAATAATTCGTTCAATTCGTAAGATTTTTTTTAAACTAAATAAGTTTGTCTATCTGTTAGTTACATATATACGTTAGTTATATATACGTTATTATACGTTATTATACGTTATTATACGTTATTATACGTTAGTTATATATACGTAGACAATTGACGTATCCGAAAGGACGCTTAGATAGCGGCGAACGATTTAATCTTACCGATTAAAAGATGTGTTAACAAAAAAGGTCCGAAGTAATTAGTAGCCATAGTCATTTCCAATCCATCTTCCGTGATCTTCTTTCTGAAAGTCTCCGCAGTTCCAGCATTGTGAACCAACACGTCCAATCTTCTCTCTTCTTGATTTATTTGCTGTGCAAATTCTCTAATCGATTGCAATGATGCCAGATCCAATTTGCGGACTACGATATTAGTGTTATTCGATTCCTTCACAAACTCGTCTGAGCATGAAAATCAAAAATATATTATTTTCATCCAAGAAAAATACTTTATATACAAATATGTCATAAAATGTGTAGAACAATTGTTTTGTATCGAACGTTTTCAACATTTATATAAATATTTAAGATTGTCAATCAAATAACATACTTTGTTTCAAGAATCAGTATGGCAAAAAAACTATATTATACTTTATGTTAAAAACTTTATATTAGATGACTTCACGTAAATATATTATGTATGTAAATATATGTATATGAGATGTGTAAATTTTTCTCTTTCCGGGGGCAATTTCTGTTTTATAATTATTATAATACATATTAAATGTCATACAACAATGTCACATAAAAAACCAATTACGATGCATTAAAAACAGAATTATTTCAATATTTTCTAAATTTTGTATGACAAGTTTGTGTTTATGTTACAAAGATTTAAGGGCCTTCTACAATAAGATATTAATAATAAATCAGAAGTCAGAAGCAAGAAATTAACTAATCACAATCGATTATTTTTCTGTGATTTGACTGTGATTGGTCAATTTCTTGTTTCTGACTTCTGATTTATTACTAATATCTTATTGTGGAAGGCCCTTTATTGTTGAGTAATATGTAAATTTCATCGTATCTAAACTGCGATTTATTAAATTGTGAGCAAGTGTTTTTCTCTATTATGTAAGTGTATGATTCATCTAACATGTGCCGTGTATAATAGTATAAGTAATAAATAATAGTATATGTCCTTGAATATAGAAAAAGTATAAATGAGAGATGAGAAAGCGAAATATAACTTATTTGTACACATTATCCAGATAGCCAACTGAGTGCAAGTTGCTGGCAACTTGCCACAAATATTGCTCATAAGTTTTCAGCAATGTAACAAAAGGGTGTATCTTCTTTTCAGTACGTTCTTGCCAGCGACAGTTTTCAAAATATAATAACAGCAAGTTCCCAACAACTCATCGGCAATAAACTTATATTATTTTTCTCACCTTATGAATAAAAATCATTGCTCACATATTGCTGACTCACTTGTCATAAACATTGGCTACAACAATTGATTGACAATAAAATTCAGCATATTGATACTGAATTGACAAAAACATTTTTGTTGCATTAAATAAAAACAACACAACAGCAATTGGCAAGTAACTTAATCTATACAATGATTTGCTTTATATTGAGTTTTCATATTTGGCTATCTGAGTAATAATATATTTGATGGAGACGCGCTAACTACACACACACAAGTGTATATATTTAATAATCATGTTAGTGCATTACAAGACCTTTTAGTTGATTAGCAGATTCTACATTTCTGCATGCCATAATGACTCTCGCGCCTCTCTTGGCAAGGTCTCTTGCAGTCTCTTTACCGATACCGGAAGTGCATCCGGTGATTATCACCGTTTTTCCTTCCATTCGATCCTTGCTCTTGCAAATGCCCAAGGTGTGAGAAATGTAAAGACGTAGGCTCACCACGAGCAAAACCAAACTACCGAACAAAATAGCAGCAACGAAGTAAAGCACCGTAGTGGAGAAGATGCTATCTAGTATCATATTATCTGAACAGAATTACAGAAAACATTGATGTTAAAATATTCAAAACACTTTAACATTTTGCTTCATTCAAATGACACAAGATATTTTTACAAAATCACATGTTTGCACAATTGTAGAGCCTGTAACAGAGCTGGTGTGAAAACATGCATATAAATTTCTATTATATTTATTCTTCTATACATAAACAAAAAATGTATATAATAAAACTCGTTCATGTGTCTCTCGATATTATAGTTCTTGTTTAACGCATTAATAAATGCTGAATATGTTGAATTATTAAATCTACAGTGTGTTAAATAGTATGATCTATTGATCATACTATATGGCAGAACGGTATATATAGGTATTTATAGCAACAAAGTCTATAGTCTAAGTTAAAGATCACTTTTTATTATCGGTTGCAAGAAAAAGCATTAAAAAATTCAGTAAACTCTTCGTTTCAAGAAGACGAATCTTTGGAGAGTATGATATTCAGATTTTCTGCAACGAGAGTCGTTGACCATGCATTCCTTTTAAAAAGATACTTTCTATTCATAGTATGCTTTATCAAGTTTACCTTGACGTTACATATGTACAGAAACAAATGATGTTCTTTGAAGAAACGTGATGTTCTTTTTTCAACAATGTTTTGTGAAGGTAATAAATTGTCTCATTTCAAAGAAAGAGCGATGTATTGTGTGTGTTAGTAATATTTTCTATGATCTAATTATTCTGATGCATATTGTTTTTCTAAGAAATATTAATAACAATTATAAATGAGAAATTATGAAAAAAAAAATTTATACATATATTTTATTAAAAAATTATAATTTTATTATATTAATTCAATAGAGAAAGAGACGGCAAAGTATTTAAATACAAGTTAAAACTTAGCTCATTGAATATTCTTAGTGACAATGATTTATCTGATAATCATACGGAATGCAGACTTTCTAAGCAATTTTTTATTTTCTGTAAAATTTTTGCATTTTCTGTTTAAATTTGATAGTCATGGATATGAAGAATTTCTTATCGACTTTTACTTATAGCACTTTTACCGAAGAAAACTTATAAATAAATGTGTGTGTGTGTAATATTAAAACAAAAGGTTTTTATTATTTTTTGCTTCGACGAATAAAAATGATTTTACTTCATGTATGTATGTCACTAATATGTTACTAAATTTTTAATAAGATAAATTTTAGAAAATTTGCTATAATTCGAAGTATAATAACCGATAATTAAAAAAGAATTCCTTATACCGATATTTATATTTATTAACTAATTAAATTCAATTGTGTCTATATAAAACAGGACAATAGTTTTTTAATTAAATTTAATTTGAATTTCCATATGTATTAATTTACACGTTTATGGGAAAAAAATATATATGTATATATAATTACACGTATCGACCTTATTATAATACCTAGTTTGTAAAATAGTGCACTTACTTTCATGAAACGACAAAGTCTTCGTACATTTTCTCGAGAGAGTTTCACCGTTACGTTGCTGGTACAATATTGGAAGCGTGAAGCTTCCTTTTGTGTTGACTTGTGCCCGCGAGTGACTGGACAGTACTGGTCAATATCCCCCACCTTTTAGTCAGGAATGATGATGACCTTGATGAGTTGTACAGATGTGCTCTTTGATGTTTAAATGTACATTTTTTTATGCAGTACAAATTCGAGACAGTACAATGTCTCGAACGTATATGTCTTCTTGGGAAGGACACGTTTTTTACGTTTTGAATACTATGAATTGGCACTTGTCAAGGCACATGTTAATTATACGTGTCTCTTGATATATTATATATTTGTATTGTTTTGGTTAACACTTTTAATTCTAAAATATACTAAGAAGCAGAACTTCAAGTATATATAATTTAATAAAAAAAAGAAAAAATATATATATAAAAATATCCAATCTCGCCTTCAGTATACGCGTTTGGTGAAAATTTTTCTCGCTTATAAAAAAATTTAACTTTAACTAACTAAAATAATAAAAAATCAGAACAAAACAATTTAATACGACACAAAATCGTGCAGTACGGTACACATAAATCTGTTGAATTTAAAAATTATTGATATTTCGATTAATCGGAAAATTGGTTGTTTGCGCGTTTGTTTTTTATATATGCTTTAATTAAAGCTTAAGAAAGCTGCTAATTGTATGAATCAATTACTGATACAACACTGATTTCTCAGTGTGTTTGTTTTATATAAAAAATATGCAATAGTTTGGATTTTACTTTTTTCGATTTTATTTTTTTAATCCATTTTGATTTTGTGCGAATTATGCGATTTGTGTAACTGCGATTTCGCTGAGTAGTCTGTTTCAATGGCATTCTGCAAGATTTGCATTGTTAGGATAGAAACGCGCAAATTTTTGAGCTTCATACTGCTTTCCAAATAAGCAATTTTATCGTTCAAAATGCATATTGTTTTTTCTTTTTTGCGCAATTCTTGTTTTAGTTCATATAGAGTGTACATGATATAGTTTCTTTATTTGTATCTTCAATTTGTTTCTTTGCGAGAACGTTCACGGGACTAGCGTTGCCTTTAAATATACATTCGTACATTTTATTATAGTCAGTTAATTACATTATTCAAACAATATCATACATCTGGCTTTTCCGAAACGGGGAAATTTGCAGTAACTAAAAAGACATTCCAGAAAAAAAAGCGATCCAACTAAAAACAATGAAAATTCCCGCTTTGAATCGTGCTCGTCTCGACAGTTTGAATTTGCAAATTGATTTATCAATCAAGATATCAACTGTGACATCTGAAATTTCTGTAGACTCGACTTGTTCCGATTTGTTATCATTGTGACATTTCCAATCTCCGATGATATTGGCTGATGAAATAGTCTCGATTTTATCTTCTGTGGGATAAAAGTTTGAAAATTTCATGCAAATCACTTATTTCGACGTTTAATAAGATTGTTGACTTCCAATTTTGCTGCTAGGACTGAAAATATAATGTAAATGTAATGTAAGCTATAGATTTGTAGTACTGGTAGTAAATCTCGTGGAAAATATAAAAATTGACAAAACCTAATATATCACAAATGAAAAAAGTTACGTGACGTCAGAACGTCGATTTGAGTTTTGACTCGTGCACCTCGTCGCTTTGCGTCTCTTGAAATTTTCGTTTTCAATTCTGGCAAAAACTTCTCAATCGCATCTCGAGACGCGTTCGCCAGAAAATGGATCGTGTTCTTGTTCAATTTCATGTTAATCTTCGCGAGTACTTTTCAATTCGGCGTGTTCCAATTTTCTTTTTTCATGCTTAAATTACTCGTCGGCACGTTACTCTAATTATGAAGCTCCACAAATCGCGGATAGTAGTTTCACAACTTCTGCTATGAACTATATAGTGCATGCAGTAGCTCATTTCCCCGTGTAAATTGAAATAGAAAACAAATTTTTACAAGATTAATAATTACCAGCGTCTGAGAAATCTCGCGTCAGATTCTTTGTAGGTTTCGAAATAGGAAGGAGATTCGATTTACGTGAGTAGATCTTTATCTCTCGCTATCTGCACTGTATCACCGATCATTTTTCGTGTTTTTTATCGTCAATTTAAAATTACCGATATTACCGAGTGTTACACGGACAATTTGTGAAAGAAAAATGTTGAAGCGTTATTCAGCTTGTCTTAACAACGAATTATTCGCAAAAACCTGAAAAATAATCAAGAACAAAATCCTTTTATTACAGATTTTTATTCTGAAAATGTCGATATTCGATAGCACGCAATAGCGAGAACAAAAAGTGGAGCTAATAAACATCTCAGTATATAAACTATCAATATATACAATTCTAGAATGATAGAACTTCTGTTTTTATTTCTAATATAAATAAATAATGTAAACAGGATAGGAAAAACTTTTAATACTAACAGGAGTGGAAAGTTTAAGCAATAGAGATCCTATTGTATTAAAAAACACGATATACGATTTCTCGTAATCTATTTTGTCATACATCATGTACATTGTGTGTACATATTTATATAAAAAAACGTACGCAAAAGATTGTACGTTTTTTTCTTTTTATTGCGATGTTGCAGCATTTGGAGCTGAGCTGGCGGCCTGCGCCTGATCTTCGCGCAGTCGATCCTTCTTAAGCTGTCCCATGAAAGAAGCTTTGTCAGCGGCGGTCTGGAAGCGACCGTGTCCAAATTTGGAGCTGGTATCGATGAACTTGAGATTGATTTTTTCCAACGCAGATCTCTTTGTGTGCACCAATAGAGACTGCAAAGATACGTTTTACAAGTTACGTAGAAATTCACTTGATCCGGATAAACCAGTAATAATGCCTGTATATTCAGTCCTATCATTTGACTATCACGGTGATCATATTAATTAATAGGCTCTTTATAATTTCATCATATAACCACACATATAAGAAAATTGTATTATTTATACTTTGATATTTTGTCCTTACTTTTCTGAGTGTGATCACGCGCTTCTTCGGACCCATGCAACAACCTTTGATCATGATAAAGTCATTGTTCACCTCACCGTAGTGCGGGAAACCTCCCATGGGCGTGATAGTCTTCTCGGTAAGATCATACTCCGTTGAGGCGTTATTTTTTACCATCTGTATATACAAGAGTAAAGGAATATGTAATAAATATCACCTTAGATTAAATCAATTTTATTTTATATCTGACTTTGTGACTTGATTTGAAGACCTGAAGCTTATAATTGATATTTCTTCAAGCACTATGAACAAGTATCTTTGTTATGCCTCCTTTCAAAGTGACACGCAAAAAGAATTCCACCTTCTTATGTGTTTAGAAACTTGAAAAGAGGAGATGGTATATAAATTTTCAAAGTTAACATAACAGTTACCTTGCCGTCCTTAGTGTGGATGCCCTGTCCGATTCTGTAGATCTTTTTGTTCATCTCCGTGCGATGATGATATCCCTTTTGACCGGCTCGCGCAACGGTGAAAGACACACGGCTAGGATGCCATGCGCCAATACAAGCGACCTTTCTCAAACCCTTGTGAGTCTTACGCGGCAATTTTTTGGTGTGCCATCTAGACGTGACACCTGTAAAAAGAAGAAAAAAATTATTGGTTTTTTGCTTTTTTTTTTACAAGTTATGTGCACAAGCAGAAGATAAATATGATTAATTAGTTAATCTCTTTTGTTGAGGACTTTCAGTAGGAAGGCAGCATGTTTATATCGTCAAAATAATCAGATAAATGCACGTCATGCTTTTTTTCATCATACAGTCCTAAACAATTTTTTGAAAATGCATGCTTTTCTGGGTGCATGATACTTTATGGTGGAGAAGAGGGTGGCTGCAAAAGCGCGGCAATTTTGCGATAATAAAGTTGAAAGACAAGGAGTCAAACAGGAGCACACCCAAGCATGTATGTATATGTGTAAAAGAAGAACATACCTTTGTAACCCTTGCCCTTAGTGACACCAATTACGTCTATCATTTCGTCAGGAGCAAAAACGTTGCTGACAGGCACAGGCTTCTCCAGATGTTCTCGTGCCCAATTCACCTTGTCTTCAATGGTGCCACCATTCAATTGAATCTCCATAATATGAGCCTTTTTCTGACGTTGTCTCAGCAACTTCATCTAACGGATAAAAATAAAAAAATGATGCAAAACGAGTTTTTCCATAGTACAAACACATTTGACACTTCTATTGCCGTATTATTTTCTTACTTGAGTATGAGCAATGATGCGAACAACGCTGCAATATTTCTTGATCTTCTTAAGATCTGCTTCAATGGATTTGCGGCCGAGATCGTCTTGCCACTTCTTCGACGCTTTAGTGAACGCCTTTTTTTTGCTCTTGAACCTATCATAAAATTATTTGCATTGCCTGCCTATGTTCGTGCATCAATATAAGCCATTCCTGAAACGTGTCAGTCTCATCCGAACAAGAGAGGAAACTAGACACATTTTTTGGACTAACCAGCTTAAAACTTAGTTTTAACGGTCGTATCCAAATGATCGCTCTCATCATACGAGCGGAGAGCTGATATATTTTTAATAATTAATACCATTTTCGTATGTAATAAACTAATAAAATTTTTAAAAGAGGAGCTGTACCAGGTATGGTTTGTCTCAATGGTCACTGCCCAATGGGCTCCAAAGAGTCTATGGAATATACCTTGTTTCTACGCCAAAAAATAGCACAGAGTTTTTCTTCGACATGGCAGATTAAGAACATACTGCATTGAAAGCAGCTCTCGCACTGCAACCCAAATGGTTCAATGCATTTCTGCATCGATCGGCATTTGGATTAACATGTCGCATGATCTTGAAGTGTTTTTAATATCAAAACGAATATATAAACAATAAAGTGCTCGTGTCTGAATTGATTTATTAAATTTGTAATTTCAAGTGTGAACAGTAAGAGTAAATATTTAGTACTAACCAATTCTTGTAGAAACGTCTGCGACAATCTTCAGATAAGTGTTCTGCCCAAACAGTAGCAAGTGCTCGCAATCCATGTGGTGTTTCTATATATCCAACAAGACCGACTACAATCATTGGTGGAGTTTCAAGGATAGTAACAGCTTCTACGATCTCCTTTTTATTCACCTCTATAAGTATAAGAATAATTTACTTTCAATTAAGAATAATTTAGAGAAAAATAGAGTAATAATAATAAATTTATTCTCCAAATAAAAATAAAGTTAATTTTGAAAAACAAAAAAAACCTGTACTAGATATGGTTTGTCTCAATGGTCATTGTCCAATGGACTCCAAAGAATTTATGGAATATACCTAGTTCTCATATCAAGAATGATACGATGTTACTTTTTGATGCGGCAGTATTGAGAATATACTATATCTTTTAAAAATAGCTCTCGCACTGCAATCCAGATGGATCAATACATTTCTGCATCAATCAACACCCAGATATCACATCAAAGAGAATTAATTTTTTTATAACAGATTTTTTATTACAATTAACTTGAGCCCAAAAATAATAAGAGAAAACATACTATTATTTTTTTTCAAAAGCTTATTTATTACAAAGAACAGAAAAATACACTATACTTACTTGAACCTGGACGATCCGCTTCTCTCACAACATGAGTCATACCAGCTTTATAGCCAATAAAAGCTGTTAAGTGTACAGGTTTGCTAGGATCATCTTTTGGAAAAGCCTTTACCTTTCCGCGATGTCTTTGCGATCTTTTCTTGGGATAGAATCCCATCGACCCATGTCGAGGAGCACTGAACTTCCTGTGTGACTTTTAACATAAACATAAAAAGAAAATATAAAACACATGATACAAATATACAGCAATTGTGTTTTTTCAATAAAATAATTCAGACCGCCCTAGAATACTGTCATCAAGAATGTTCTGACAATGTCTAACCATAGAAAATTGGATCATCATGATATTTATAAAAGTTTTGATGTGAAACTTTGCTTTGTGCGAAAAATATAATTCTACAATGCATGTTCGCAACCAAAACTGCGTTCGGGAGCGCGCTATTAGTGCTGTTGCATCATTCTATCTTTATTGCTCATTAGATGTAAAACAAAGATAGAATGACGCAATAGCGCTGATAGCGTGCTGCCCAAACGCAGCCCACAATAAATCTAACCTCACAATTCTCAATTTGCATTCGATTTCTTCATTTTTGAAAGTTGAGATGTTTTTAATCTTTTTATACTAGATTTGTACAACCATTCCAATAAAACCGCCCAATTAAGCAGTTCTTAAGAACAAGATATGACGTGGCGTCAAGATCTTACCGGATATGTACGAAACTATACATGACCTCGTCGTTAACTACATAAAATAAAAATAACTTCGGTGATTGTAACTTCATCTTTTTAATAATTCTTTTCACAAAAAAAACAAATTTAAAATTATAATAATTAATATTGACTTCAGACTGATGGCAAAGAATATCATAGAGAACCATGTGGATGCGAAAATCTTCACGCATTGTATAATTACAAAAAGTATAAATTTCCATATTTAAAAAACTTCGCTATAATAAATGTTTAAATATTGAAAACATATTTAAGAGAATAATTATCTATTTTACCAAGAAATGATGTTGAAGAATATTACAGATTATATTGGATTACATTTGATACTAAAATACTAAGATACCTACTTACCATGACACTCTTGCGATGTTACGACCGAAATGGAGGACGAGACGCAAGGGAACGTCTATTTATACCATTCTAAGGTTGATTTCCATGAAGAATTGACTTAAGCCGTATTCATAATATCAGAGAAGCGGCTACCAGAGAGAAGACTGAAGCTGCGTTCGGGGAGCACGCTATCGACGCTATTGCGTCGTTCTATCCTTGTTTTATATCCAATGAGCAATAAAGACAGAATGATGCAACAGTGCCGATAGTGCGCTCCCCGAACGCAGCCTGGGGCGATGTCCCATTGAGCGGAAATATATAGCGGAACGGAATGTGCGGAACCAACTCGACCAATCATAGCCATTCCGTTTTCTTTCCTTCGCTTTTTCTGTGGTTACGATTGGTCGAGCTGGTTCCACACATTCCGTTCCGCTATAAATTTCCGTTCAATAGGACCGTTCAAAGCCCTCAGGGCGATGTCCCATTGAACGGAAATCTATAGCGGAACGAAATGTGCGAAACCAGCTCGACCAATCGTAACCATAGAAAAAGCGAAGGAAAGAAAACGGAATGGCTATGATTGGTCGAGTTGGTTCCGCACATTCCGTTCCGCTATAGATTTCCGCTTAATGAAACATCGCCCTCAGGTCTCGAATCTCCATATATGTAATACTCCTATATTGCTAGTACGGTGCCGACCTGAAGCTCACCGTTACGGTGCAGACAATATAGTAGCCTCTCTCTCCAGCTGCTTTGTGCGCATGCGGTGAACATTCAAGCACGTTTGGGCATTTCTCTTTCTCGCGTTCTTTCCAATGCTTTGTCTCGCTCGCACTCACTTGGTAGATGCGCCTGCGCATAATGACACTCGACCATCTATGCCCATATTTGGACTTTGTGCGTCTCCCTTTCTCGTGCCTCTCATTGCGAAGATACGCGACTAGCAATATAGGAGTATTACATATATGGTAATCACTTGGTTTTCTGTATGTGACATGTACTAAGCCTACTAGGAGCGATTCCTGGGGCGTCTTTTTTACCTTAATAGAAAAAAAAAAAAAAAAGTACCGCCAGTACTGCCAGTAAAAAACGAACGCAGCCATATGTTCTAAGATATATACCTAATTTAAATTTCACAATTGTAGTACACATAAATAATTATAGGAAAACCAAAACTAAAACTTAAGCAGAGAAACAACATAGAAGAGAGATTTTAGAGAAAAACAGATGCAACCTGAGCACTATTTTTACCATGAACTTTGATACAAGCTACAGATTAACATGTGCAATTTGTGAAGGAAACCTAGAAAGAGTAAGGGAGCTAATTACTTCTTTTGGACTCCCTTATACACAAGCATGGGCAGAAGGATATGGTTTCCTTTGTGAAGCTATTAGGAATAAGCAAACACAAGTTATTAAACTACTTTTAACAAACGGTTCTGAAGTTAACAGCAACACTGCTGAATATACTGATACTCCACTTCATTTTGCTGTTATAAATGGTGACATAGAAATTGTTAAGATGCTTCTAGACAGATATGCTGACGTTAATGCTACATCTTATTATGGCACAACTCCCTTTCACTATGCAATTGAACATGAGAAAATGGAAATTGCTGAATTACTTTTCAATCATGGAGCTAATGTTAATGCCAGAAGCCATTACGGTATAACTTTTTTTTATATTGCAGCTGAAAAAAGATATTTACAGACTGATGAACATCTTTTAAAACATGGAGTTTAATTGGATAGTGACTTCTACATATACCTCTTCCTTTTCAGGTGTTACACCACTGTATCTTGCTGTTCAAAGAGGACATGTAGATGGTGTTAAGATGCTTATGGACAAAGGTGCTGACATTAATGCTGAAACTCGGGATGGCACAACTCCTCTTCACGATGCGATTGAAAATAAGAATATAGAAATTGCTGAATTACTTTTAAATCATGGAGCTAACATTAACGCCAGTAACGATGACGGTATAACTTTTTTTTATATTGCAGCTGAGAAAGGATATTTACAGATTGATGAACATCTTTTAAAACTTGGAGTTTATATTAATTCTACATATATCTCTTCCTTTATACCAGGTAAGACACCACTGTGGTTTGCTGTTGAAAGCGGACATGTAGATGGTGTCAAGATGCTTATAAACAGAGGTGCCAACGTTAATGCTAAAACTCGGGATGGCACAACTCCGTTTCACTATGCGATTGAAAATAAGAAAATAGAAATTGCTGAAGTACTTTTAAATCATGGAGCTGACGTTAACGCCAGTAACGATGACGGTATAACTTTTTTTATATTGCAGCTGAGAAAGGATATTTACAGATTGATGAACATCTTTTAAAACATGGAGTTTTATTGGAGAGGTAATTCTACATATATCTCTTCTTTTTCAGGTGTTACACCATTATGTCTTGCTGTTAATAACAGACATGTAAAAGTTGTTACGATGCTGTTAGACAGAGGTGCTAACATTAATTCTTCATCATATAAGGTTTATCATGCCCTTTNTNGTGGCATCAATGGTTATGAACCAGTTGCTGAGATTCTTACACAGCATATAGTTAAGATGAAAACTGCAAATTTCTACGTAAGTGAACAATTATTGTCAGTGAGTAGCAAATATGAAATAAGATATTTACAGGATATATGTGAAACAGAAGTAGCAATCATGAAAAATGAGAAAATTAGTAATTCTAACATTTCATTGTATGATATCTTGATAAAAGATACAAATCCATTAGCAAAATATATGAGAAATAAAAATGTAGTGCAGGTTTTAAGATCAGAAGATTATAAAACAAAATATCCAATGTACGCTAGCATGATAAAAAGTAAGTTCAGAAAAGGTATGGAAAAGAAAGAGTTGCTCGAACAAGGCACTAAAATTTTCTCTTTTTTCTGTAATTTTCCTGAGCTACCACATGAGTGTATTGAACAAATATTTAGTTACCTCAGTAATAACGACGTAAGAAGTTTAATAGATACTTGTAAGTCTGTTAGTGTCAGTAATCTTAATACTGATATTACTGATGTAACACGTATCTCAAATACATCTAAAGTGCTATGTGTGTAAGTTAAAGAAGAACGAACTACTTTAAACGTGAAATAACAGCTATAAAAATTTAAAGATTATTACTTTATTTTATAAATACAGATTACTATCTTATTTTAAAATTAAAGGTTTATAAGAGAGTTTATCGTATTTTAGTTTTTTAAAAGTTGGTTTTTACGTTTATATTCTCTTGTATATGTTTTCTTATGATGAATCGGAGGAAAACTAGGCTGTTTTATATCTCTCACTTTTTTTCAAACTTTGTGTCAGATTTTATAACATTTTTACAACGAAAAATTTATACACATTAATCCGATGGATACTCTTTCATTGAACAGAGTGTAACACGTGTAATTGCTTTTATTAATTTAAAAAATAAAATTANATTGGAAAACTTTGAATCAATCTTTGTTTTTATCACAGATATATGTATGTATTTTTCTTATATATACTTTTTTAAATATATTAACGATAACATACCTACAGAAAAGAAAGAACTACGCTGTGTACAGTGTATAAACGATGCATAATCCAACTATGTTTTAAATTAAGTTATACAATGATTTATTCTATCTGTAATATTTCATCGATATCCGAAGCTAAACCCTGACGAAAATAAGAAGCTTTACAGAGCGTTGATAACCGTTTAATGAGAATTTTCTGAGAGTTTATACGCTTTCAAACTTTATAAGAATGCTTCTATAACTCCAAAAGTTTGGAACTCTTTTGG